ATTCTTAACTGCTGTGAGAAGGTACATTCCGATGAGAACTGTCAAAGACAAAAATAGTCCACCATGGATCGATAAAGAAGTGCGTCAACTAATCCGTAAGAAGTACAAAGTTCTAAAACAATACCGCAGGAACAAATCTGCTGATCGAAAGCGTAAATTACGAAGCGTTACTCAACAAATCAAATACTTGATTCGAAGTAAACACCGAGGCTATCTGGCTAAAATAGAAAGTTCGTTCTGTGGCAACCCTAAACTATTCTGGAGTTACCATAAATCAATTCTTCACCACCGGACAGGTCAGAGCAACGAAATAACATATAATGGTTTCACAGCCAAGACGGCGAAAGAAAAAGCGGATCTTTTTAACACTTACTTTTCTTCAGTGTTTCATCCATCTTCTACCACTTGTAACCAGACGCCTCGAACGGAAAGCAAAGAGAACATCTCGGAGATAACAATCGATGTAGACGAAGTTGCGCAATTTTTGTGTGCCCTTGATACCTCGAAAGCATGTGGCCCCGACGGCATTCCAGCTCGCCTGTTACAAGTATGCGCCCTTGAAATCGCACCAAGCATATGTGAGTTGTTTAACCGTTCCTTGCATACTGGTCATGTTCCATCTGAGTGGAAATCTGCGAATGTTACACCCGGCCACAAAAAAGATCTTAAAGAACCGGCGGAACATTACAGACCAATATCGTTGCTGCCCATCGTTGGCAAAGTACTAGAGCGTTGCGTGTGCATCAGACTATATAATCATGTCAGGCACCTCGTCACAAAAGCACAACATGGTTTCCTTAGACGGCGATCTTGCGTTAGTCAACTACTATCGGTACTACACGCCATCGGGCAATCCCTTGACAAAAACGTTCAAACTGACGTTATCTACCTCGACTTTGCGAAAGCTTTTGACTCTGTCGATCACCAAATTCTCCTCCACAAGTTTGCGTCATACGGTGTGTCAGGTCATTTATATGAATGGTTCGCGGACTATCTCAGTGGTCGTCGTCAAAGGGTTGTGATTGATGGAGCTACATCTAATTGGGTGCCAGTTACATCTGGAGTGCCGCAAGGCAGTCTCCTGGGTCCTATTCTGTTTGTGATATTCATAAACGATCTTCCCGACATATTACCTGACGAGACGTTGGCAGCTTTGTATGCAGACGACACCAAACTGTACAAGTCCATCACATCAGTAGGTGACTGTGAAAGTTTGCAACAAGCTTTAACAGACCTTGACTGCTGGAGCCGTGACAACAACCTCAATTTTAACGAGTCGAAGTGTAAGGTGTTGACAATTACAAGGAAAAAAACCCCGCTGACGTACGCATATCACATGGGCTCAAAGGAACTTACTCGTGGGAATAAGGAAAAAGATCTTGGTGTCTTCATAAATTACAACCTCTCATGGGACGATCATGTTCATACCATCACCGCCAAAGGGAACAAGATGCTTGGCATGCTGAAAAGAACTTGCCCTCTACTGACTAACACCGCAGTGAGGCGGACGCTGTATTTGTCACTCGTGAAGTCCCAGATAAGTTACGCCACCGAAGTCTGGTCTCCTCCTACCATCAAAATGAGATCCACAGTGGAACGTGTACAAAGGAGAGCCACCTCTTGGATACTGCAAGCCAAGCGCGGAGAAATTGCATATAAGCAGCGGCTGATAACCCTTGGCTTATTACCCCTGTGCTACGAGAGAGAAATAAAAGACTTAGTGTTCTTTTTTAAGGCACTGTATGGACATATTGATCTTGACGTGCATAGTTTCGTTTCATTTGTCAACAATGGCCGAACACGACTTAGTCGAAATCCTTCTCTCACACTCAAAATCCCTTTCTGTAAATCCAAAACATTTCAATCCTCATATTTCAACCGGCTTGTCAAGTTATGGAACCACGTCTGCAAAATTCTTCCCTCTACCACCTTTGCCAGCCTCTCCATCTTCAAAAGATCTCTTAAAGCCACTTACGCTAACTTGCTTACGGCAACATTTGACGTGGACATGCCATGCACCTGGACACTGGTGCGGGACTGCCCCTGCCACAGATCTTAAGTAGTTTTAATAGACGGTTCCTCTTATTGTGTTCACTGAATGCAACCACATTATGCTTGTGAGTTTGAAATTATTATGCTAACACATCCGTGAAGCATTCATTATGCTTGTGAGTTTGAAATTATTATGCCTGCAATACATCCGTGAAGCATTCATTATGCTTGTGAGTTTGAAATTATTTTGCTAACACATCCGTGAAGCATTCAGGTGGTTGCGTTCATGGTCATACTAATAGGGGGAAGCGGCTTTTATATATTTGTATTTTATGTATGTGTGTATTTATATTTATGTACGTATTCGCTGCTTCGGGGTTTGCACCTTGCATGGGACTTCGCGTCTCGTTTGTGCTTATGCCATTTGAGTTCATATTAATTATACATAATATTAATTATATATAATTATATATAATATTAATTATATAATGTAATGTTCTCAATAAATATAATATATATATATATATATATATCTGGAACGATAACAGCGAGCGAAAAGTGAAGCCGACAAAAAAATCACGACATAAGTATTCGTCATTGTCTTCGTCATCAACTGTTCAAGAACTTTCTTACAGTATTAAAAATCACTTACATATAAAATTTGTAATTATTTTGAAAGTTTTTATCACAGTTTTTATATCTTTATTCACTTTTAACCTGAAGATGGAGTTATACTCCGAAACGTAGTTATTAAAATAATTTTTACTAAGCCCATATGGTCTAATTTATATTCAAACACACGTACATATTCATTTACATTTTGCTGGCAGGCAAATTCCGATCACACAATAAATTCTTTAAAAAATAACGTACCAGTGTATTGACTAAAAACCATAAAACTGGTAAACTAAAAAACAATTCAAACAATCGCGAAAAATGGCAACGGCAAAGTCACAGTTGCAAGTCAATTTACCTACCTGTGAAATGAAATTTTCTCGCAAGAATATCTCTTTCCTTGTGCATCCAGAACGACAGTACGACACAATATATTTGAAAAAGTGATTCTTTTCTCCACACGGGGAAGTTTTCCTCGACTTTTTTCCCACAGCGAACTCAATGCAGTAAATTTTAGGAGCAAAACAGTTTGCTCCTAAAATGTATTGCATTGAGTTGGCCATGTTTTTAATTTTTTTTCGTGATTGCGTTCAAATTTATACTGGCCGTGCAACGGTTTGCAAGAGGGGGAATGAAACTGACGTCCAATCCGCGTAAACCTGACGTTTGAGGGACTGAGACTGACGTCCAATCCGCGTGAAAGACTGGTATCGAGGCTTCATTTTTTTCGCAATCAAATGACTGAATGTTATCGTTCCAGATATATATATATATAGAGTTCACTGTGTAGACGTCGTACAACTTAAGATTATTTGTTCAAAACGTTACCTAGCTCTATAACTCTATAATTTAAAAAAAAAATCCAGAAAAAATACGAACAAATCCGGAAAATCCAAACAAATCCGGAAAATCCAACAGATTTTCAAAAATCCAGAAAAAATCCGAATAAATCCGGAAAATCCCAATAAATCCGGAAAATCCAACAGATTTTCTCTTCAAAAATCCGCTAAAAAATCCGGGGAAAATCCGCTAAATCCGCTAAAAAATCCGCGGATTTTTAAAAATCCGAAAATCCCGTACGCTTTTTTGGAGTGAAATGCCCCTCGTGCAAAACTAGTCCTCTAGCAGAAATTGAACCTCGGTCGTTGATGTCGATTTCTTTAATTTTTGAACCATACTCTATGTATCAATTATATATGGAATAGGAAATGTAATTGTAGCTGTAACTGCTGTGTCATCTATACTGGACTCTGTTAAGTTATAAGTATTGCAGATAACTGTAAAGATGTAGAGATGCTGGTGCGGCACACAACCACATTGTTAGGTGCATGCAGGGCCTTTTTTAAGGATTTTCCCGTGGGGGCATGTTTTGCAAAGGGACCTTTCTGTGAGATAATATCACAGGGTGCCCGACTTAAAGAAATATATCCAACTGTATAAACAAGCTGTTTCCCCAAGCTTATCAGTTTTTGAACAAGCAGCCCCAAAACTAAAAAAATTATTTTCTAGAGAAAAATGATGTAAAGGCTTTGCTTCGAGTATTGTTTATGTTTCTGCCACTGCCATTATTCTGGATTCTGTTTGACCAGCAGGTTAGTGCATAGACGGATTTCCTGGATGTAGGGGTGCATACCCCCCCCCCCCAAATATTTTGCATCCCCTCACCTAGAGAAATTTCAGAATTTAAAAACCCTGCCCCAAAAATCTCTGGTTACAATTCTTTGGTTATAATTCCTACAGGAATCTGTATTTATTATTATTCCTCAATAAAAATCTTAACAATTGTACTGTAATTTTGTTTTTACTTGCCTTATAAAAATGTGTTTTGTTTTTATAGGGCTCAAGATGGATGCTACAAGCGGAACAGTTAGATGGTCATATTGTAAGTGGACATAGTTATAGATCTTGTATTAACATACATGCAACGAAATGTTCTTAATAAATGCCATGTAATTTTTTAGGGTGAATTGTTAACTGTGAAACCAGATCAAATGCAGGTATGTGAAGAATTACAAACTAGAGAGAATGGACTATAATATTTCATTTAAATAATGTACTGACCTCCCTATTGAGGACAAGCATTTTACTACTGTATACCACAGAAGAATAAGAATTCCTGTTGTACTGTAAATAAGATGTTCTGAACAATTCCTGTTAATCAGCATTTTTACCATGAAGAAATTCACTGAAAATGCCCAACTCTTGGAGAATTATTGCACAGTGAAATTCACATACCCCTGAGGAATTCCAGGGCTAAAATTACCTCACCCTGAAAAATTCCATGTCCCTGGATAGGAGGTGTTACTGTGTACGGATATTTGTAAGACTCTTCGTCTGAGTGTGAAGAATTGTTTATTTAAAATCAGAAATTATTGCATGTTACCAATACCACATCACTTTCCATACGATCTAAATGCTTTATTGCTTTTAAAATCATTTCTAGGCACTTAATCCAATTTTCATTCTGGTTCTCATTCCAATCTTTGAGAGAATAATTTATCCTATTTTGAGAAAATGTGGCTTAGCTGTGAGGTACAGTAATTGTTACTGTGAAAAGATTGTCCTGCAGTACATGTTTGCATATGAATAATTTGTTAATGTTTGACTATCAACAAACACTATATTCACCTCAATTCGTGTTTTTTTCTAGACCTTTGCAAAGAATGTGTATTGGGATGTTTTTGGCAAGTGTTTCGTTTTTATTGGCAGCTGTTCTTTAACTGAAAATTCAGGTATGAAAATTGCAGTATTAAAAATTTGGAATATGAGTTACTAATTTACAGTAAAGGCTCAGGTTTGCCCTATCAAAGTTTCTGTGATCACAGTAGGAATTTTGCATGGGTAACTTCTAAGTTTTGAAGGATTTGTAAGAAACATTTGAGGGAACTGACTCAGTATTAAACACTGAGCAAGTTCTCTCAAACATTTTTTACAAATCCTTCAAAACTTAGAATTTACTGTACATATATACTGTATGCAAAATTCTTACAGTACAATCACAGAGACTTTGATCGTTTAAACCAACCTGTAGAAAAATATACAAGTCATGTACTGTTTATATTAATGCACCTATCAATGTTAAGCCCAGAGGGTTGGGCATAGGTGAGGCATTTGATTTTTTGAGCAAATTATTATTAAATTTTCAATCAAATGCCCCACCGTCGGGCAATAAATACTATAGTAATAAAAGTCATTCAGTCGGGCCCAAAATACTAATCAAAATCCCCAGGGTGGGATGCAATTGATGATTAAATACCCCACACATGCCTGACCCCCCCCTCCCCCCCCCCCTATGGGAGTTGATAGGTGCATAACGAAACATGTTACTCGATTTTCTTTCCCAGGCCATGACAATCAAAGTTCTTCCTGTGCCAAGTGGACAATCAAATCTAAGACTTATTAATGCAGCTCGTTTTCCCCTGAATGTTACATTCCCACAATATCCTTCATTACTCCTAAAAATCCAACAAAGATCGGTAAGTTATCATTGGAAAATCAATCGGAACTGAGCTAATTTAATTTTTTGTACTGGTAGCCTGACTGAGTTTTACATACTGTATTGTGTTGTTTTGTGCAGCTCATTGGCTACTTTTATCAGTTCTAAACTGTTATCCCAAACAGTGTTAATTAAGTTAATTATCCTAATTCCCAAACAGTGTTAATAAAACAGTAGGATGTTTTTTGAATGTGAGATTCAACACTTGGAACAGTTTAAAATGATACAAAACTACTCATTATAAACAACTTATGGTAATTTTATTCAATATACTATTTTGAATTTTTGATATTTATCCTTCCCAGGCTACTGAATATCTTGTCCTTCCAACCTATGTGAAGGATGTTCGTGTGAGAGCAGACAAATGTCCTCAGTCTCCAACACTGGCATATTTCAAGAAAGAAGAAGTCTTCGAATTATCTCTGGCATCCAAGAAGTCGTATAAATTTGTCATTTCCAATTACAAGGGAAAGTTATCTGGCAAACAGTTTAAATTGAAGTTCCTCAATAAGATAAAAAGTGGAAAATCATGTGTGAGGTATATATATGTTTGAATCTTAAGACATGTTTACAACAACAAACTCACTGAGTGAGGCCGGTTGTTCAAAGCTGGATTAGCGCTAACCCCGCCAGTTAAAATTTAACCTTACGACAAGTCAACAGCAACAACAACTATTGCAACAACATATAACAATACCAACAACAAAATATCATAAAACAACTATCATGTAAAATTATTGAGCCGTCTTTTTACAGTAACACATCTTCCAGAAAATATGTCACTCTATATGTTGCTATAGTCAATCCATGTCTCATCACGAAAAGCTTTCAATAGCCAAAGTGAGATACCTGTACTTTCCGGAAGCATGTATTTTCACTATTTTGTTTGTAAAACTTGGTTGTCTTTCTATTTAGATTTATTCACGCTGGAGCCGCAGCTGTTCCAAAGATTTCTATCAAATTGAATAGCAGTTTTACTATTTATAAGTTAACAAGATTGAATGCCACGAAATATCTCAGATTAAAGTCGAGGAGGTTTGTATGTTTTGACAACAACATTTCATCATTTTACAAAATATACAGCTGTTTGCATTGGTAATTTCTTTTTAAACTCATAGAAATATAGATATTACATAGCTATAATGTTTCTTTCTTGTATTTTTAGTCATGACGTGGAAATTTTAGATGGTGACAACAAAGTTAAACTTAAGGTAAAGCATTGTACAGTATTTGTAGTATAATAAACACAGCATCAACAAAACCCGGATCGGAATGGATTGACAAAACCCGGATCGGAACGGATTGACAAAACCCGGATCAGATTGACAAAACCAGGATCAGATTGACAAAACCCGGATCGGATTGACAAAACCCGGATTAATTAAACTAAAAACCTTTGTTTTGATCCGTATGTTTGCTTATATGTTGGGTTCTATTAGGGAAGAATATCGATTTTGTCCATAAACCCCCCCCCCCCCCATAGTTATCGGTATTTTGTTCTTATCGTGCATATAAGGTAATTTTCTATGCCGGGTCGGCTATTGGCGATGCTTGCCGCCCCGAGGAATAATATGTCATCTTCTGCTGACATATGTTTTTTTATTAATAATCCAGGTGATCTTGATACGCGGAAAAGTACTGGCACTAGTTGTCAAATAGAAATCCATTTTATGATTAAAACAACTGAATATCTCCTGTAGTATACTTTATTTCGATTCCATATTTTTGTCAGAGCTATAGTTCACCTAACCAAACATAATTACAAAATTTCAACTAGTTTCATAAAGAATAACGAAAGATATAATTGACTGAATACATCAAAATGGATTTCTATTCGGACAACCCTTTCTGAGCGCTGATTGGCTGAAATACGAACACGAGATCACCTGGAATATTATATGAACTCCAAGCGTTTTTCTTGAAATTTGAGTGTTTTCAATGCAAGGAAGGCGTAATAATATAAATGTTTGGAACAGGTATGCTATTTCGAATGTATATACTGGTGCAAACACCATGTTGTTTTCTTTTTTATATTGTGCAAAGATGATTTTGAAATGTTTGTTGAATTTTTCCACGATGTTTTACAGAGATTTATTAAATTACAGGTACAAAATTACAGTACAGTACCAAGTAAAGAATATCAACTCAATTTAACATGTGTGCTGTTTGTCCCAGATAGGGCTGATTACACGGGAGCCGGGAGGTAATATAAAATGAATTTTACGATTATGTGGAAAAATTCAACCCGGGCTGAATTTCAGCCCGGGTTGAAATTTTCATCCCAGTTTATGTCACCCGGGATGAGAGTTACAGCCCTGTCAAACGGGATGAAATATCCCATGCAATCGCAAATAAATTCAAACAATCGTTTAAATGGCTTTGTTTTGCGTTTTAATTGTCTCATCTTTAATATTCTATATGCAACCATACTTACACAAGTCATTTCAAATTTTTGTCAATCCGTTCCGATCCGGGTTTTGTCAATCCGTTCCGATCCGGGTTTTGTTGATGCCGTAATAAACATTGTAATTTGTTCTTTACAATTTTGAAAACTTGTCTACAACATGTCATTACACTGGAAAATTTTATACATTTCTCTACGATGGAAATTCTATAGAAACATAGAATTCTATATTCAACTTCCAAAATTTTATACACTTCAAATAGTCTGGATATTTGGAAATTTTTCATAAAAAGCATAGAAATTCTCCAAAAAAATTTTGTTTGATCATATTTTCTAGGAAAAATTGGAATTCCAGAACAGTGGGATGTATAGATCTGTAATTGTGTGCAAGGGAATCCTAACACGTGTGATAATCCTGAGGTAAAACTAATTTTTATTTGATAGTGAGTCATTCTAGAGAACATCCATACAATACTGTACCTCCCCATGGAGGAAATTAGGAGTTGATCCCCCTACCCCTTTGGATGCCTCAGTTGTATCACCCAACACCCCCTTTCCAGCCCGAACGGCAAACATTTCCTCCTTGGGGGCAGAGTGGTTCTTTTCTGGAATGACCCATTTTGCAAAATGGTGTGACCCCAGTGCTCCTTTCTTTGCTTCAAACATACTCGAATTTGTTAAAATTGTTTATATTTCCAAGAAAATTAATTTTGACATTTTCCTACAGCTTGTGTTCGAAAGATATGTCGAAGTTAGTCCAAAGACTGTTCCAATGTTTTGGCAAATTCCACAGTATCTCGCCATCACAGCTGAAGTGATGTTTTCAATAACTGGCCTCGAGTTTGCTTATTCACAGGTAACAAACTTCATTTTTCCTTCAAACTAGTACACTTAAGTAATTAGTACACCAAACATTTGGTGCGTGGCCATATCAATGTTTTCACCAAAACATTTATTTTCAGGTGATAAAATTACATTTTTAACTTTTCAAAAAAGTTGCCCAAATGTAAAGTGGGTATGAACAATAATATTATGCTTGTTATATTTCAGTCACCTGCAAGTATGAAGTCATGTATTATGGTTGCATGGCTATTAACTGTTTCTGTTGGCAATCTGATCCTAGTGATTTTTGCTGAAGCTCGTTTCTTTTATAGCATGGTAAGAGAAATTATTTACTGATACATTGACAACTTATCTGCATCACATTACTCACTCATGAAGGTTACTTGTGTGATGTAACACTTAGTTCTCATTATTTTTATTCAGGCCAATGAATTTTTCTTTTTTGCTGGCCTCTTGGTGGTCGTTGTCGTCATATTCGCCGTGATTGCTCAATTTTATACCTACTTATCTGACGAAAACAAGGCGGACAGTTCGAGTAATGAAGATGACGATAAATTTTTACTGGAAGAGGGAGAAGATGAAATTGGTAACTAGGTAATATACAGTATAATATAAACAGTAAATCTGTATGGCTTTTCAAATATTGAACCGAACCAAATGCCTATCAACTACTTATTCAAGATACAGTATAGTAGCTGTCTTAGCTGAGAAAATTCAATGAAAAGGTTATGCTATTACCAACAACTGGATTGGGTCATTATTTTAATTTTTCAAAAATTTCCTGTGATTGCCCCCTTCGCATGTTTTTACCAGCCGAAACTAACTGTTTTGATTGTTTTTTGTTTCCTGTGGTCAACCACAATGCAATGCCCGCTTCTGTTTACGTGTTCTGTTACCTTTATCGCAATTGTTGCCTTGCCCACAACGTAACACAAACAAACAAACGCACGCATTGCATTGTGGTTCACCAGGACTCTCTAACTTTTCGTCCAATTTTAGCCACTTTTTTCAAAATAGAAAAAGGGGCTAAAATTGGACAAAAAGTTAAGGTTAATTTTGTCAATTATTACCGCTTTTTCAAAACTGGAAAAAGTGGCTAAAAACCTTAACTTTTCGTCCTTTTTCAGCGACTTTTCTCATTTTTCATAAAGCAGCAAGAAACAGCAAAAAAGTAATCCTATAACCTTAACTTTTCGTCCATTTTCAGCGACTTTTCTCATTTTTCATAAAGCAGCAAAAAAGTAAGCCTATAGTTAAGGAACTTTTCGTCCATTTTCAGCCACTTTTCTTACTTTTCATAAAACTATAGCCTTAACTTTCAGCGACTTTTCTCATTTTTCATAAAACAGCAAAAAAGTAAGCCTTTAGCCTTTACTTTTCGTCCATTTTCAGCGACTTTTCTCATTTTTCATAAAGCAGCAAAAAACAGCAAAAAAGTAAGGCTATAGCCTTAACTTTTCGTCCATTTTCAGCGACTTTTCTCATTTTTCATAAAGCAGCAAAAATAGCAAAAAAGTAAGCCTATACCTACTTTTCGTCCATTTTCAGCGACTTTTCTCATTTTTCATAAGCAGCAAAAAACAGCAAAAAAGTAAGCCTATAGCCTCAACTTTTCGTCCATTTTTAGCGACTTTTTCCATTTTTCATAAGTGGCCAAAAAACAGCAAAAAAGTAAGGCTATAGCCTCAACTTTTCGTCCATTTTTAGTGACTTTTTCCATTTTTCATAAGTGACCAAAAAACAGCAAAAAAGTAAGGCTATAGCCTTAACTTTTCGTCCATTTTCAGCGACTTTTCTCATTTTTCATAAAGCACCAAAAAACAGCAAAAAAGTAAGGCTATAGCCTTAACTTTTCGTCCATTTTCAGCGACTTTTCTCATTTTTCATAAAGCAGCAAAAAATAGCAAAAAAGTAAGCCTATAGCCTTAACCTTTCCTCCATTTGCAGCGACTTTTCTCATTTTTCATAAAGCAGCAAAAAATAGCAAAAAAGTAAGCGTATAGCCTTAACTTTTCCTCCATTTTCAGCGACTTTTCTCATTTTTCATAAAGCAGCAAAAAATAGCAAAAAAGTAAGGCTATACCCTTTACTTTTCGTCCATTTTCAGCGACTTTTCTCATTTTTCATAAAGCAGCAAAAAATAGCAAAAAAGTAAGGCTATAGCCTTAACTTTTCGTCCATTTTCAGCGACTTTTCTCATTTTTCATAAAGCAGCAAAAAACAGCAAAAAAGTAAGCCTATATCCTCAACTTTTCGTCCATTTTTAGCGACTTTTTCCATTTTTCATAAGTGACCAAAAAACAGCAAAAAAGTAAGCCTATAGCCTCAACTTTTCGTCCATTTTTAGTGACTTTTTCCATTTTTCATAAGTGACCAAAAAACAGCAAAAAAGTAAGGCTATAGCCTTAACTTTTCGTCCATTTTCAGCGACTTTTCTCATTTTTCATAAAGCAGCAAAAAATAGCAAAAAAGTAAGCCTATAGCCTTAACCTTTCCTCCATTTGCAGCGACTTTTCTCATTTTTCATAAAGCAGCAAAAAATAGCAAAAAAGTAAGCGTATAGCCTTAACTTTTCCTCCATTTTCAGCGACTTTCCTCATTTTTCATAAAGCAGCAAAAAATAGCAAAAAAGTAAGGCTATACCCTTTACTTTTCGTCCATTTTCAGCGACTTTTCTCATTTTTCATAAAGCAGCAAAAAATAGCAAAAAAGTAAGGCTATAGCCTTAACTTTTCGTCCATTTTCAGCGACTTTTCTCATTTTTCATAAAGCAGCAAAAAACAGCAAAAAAGTAAGCCTATATCCTCAACTTTTCGTCCATTTTTAGCGACTTTTTCCATTTTTCATAAGTGACCAAAAAACAGCAAAAAAGTAAGCCTATAGCCTCAACTTTTCGTCCATTTTTAGTGACTTTTTCCATTTTTCATAAGTGGCCAAAAAAACAGCAAAAAAGTAAGGCTATAGCCTCAACTTTTCGTCCATTTTTAGTGACTTTTTCCATTTTTCATAAGTGGCCAAAAAAACAGCAAAAAAGTAAGGCTATAGCCTCAACTTTTCGTCCATTTTTAGTGACTTTTTCCATTTTTCATAAGTGACCAAAAAACAGCAAAAAAGTAAGTGGCCAAAAAACAGCAAGTTTCATAAGTGAAACAGCTATAGTTTTATGAAAAATAAGAAAAGTGGCTGAAAATCGACGAAAAGTTAGGGCTATAGGCTTACTTTTTTGCTATTTTTTGCTGCAAAAAACAGCTATAGTTTTATGAAAAATAAGAAAAGTGGCTGAAAATCGACGAAAAGTTAGGGCTATAGGCTTACTTTTTTGCTATTTTTTGCTGCTTTATGAAAAATGAGAAAAGTCGCTGAAAATGGACGAAAAGTTAAGGCTATAGTCGCTGAAAATGGACGAAAAGTTAAGGCTATAGCCTTACTTTTTTGCTGTTTTGAAGTAAGGCTATTTTTAGCGACTTTTTCCATTTTTCACAAGTGACCAAAAAACAGCAAAAAAGTAAGATGCTGTTCTTGTTTGCCTGCGAACAGGTTGTAGATATGTAGATACTTGTACCCAAGCCGTTGTTTGTTTTGTTGTTCTGGGTACCATTTGTACCCCCTAACCCCAAGAAAAACGATGCCAGTTTTTTTTGAAAAAAGGTTTAGAAGTTGAAGAAAGTGACAAATTTCTTTTTTACTAAGAAGCGATAAGATATTACAAAGAATCAAACAGCAATTTCCAATCGTTTATTTCGAAAGACAAAACTCTTGCAAAGCTTTTCTTGCACACATCCTGCCCCATGACCCTGTCTAAACTGTTGCGTTGCTGCACTTGTAATGCGTGTGATCGGTTTTCAAATTCAGAAACTGACGAATTCCGAAAGTACAGTTTTTGAAAAGAAAATCATTGTTATAAACTTTCGTTGAAGCTATCAAAGTCTACTCAACAGAAAATAGATCGAATGTATATTTAGATATACTGAACATTTAAACCCCCAGGATTTATGCCGGATTTCATTGTACCCATAGCTTAGAGGGTGCAAATGGTACCCGTAAGAAGACTTGGTGGAAATCATGTTGGTCGTTTGGATCGGCGAGAATAAGAGAATTATGGTGGCAACGTTTTTTCAAACATTTTCTCTCCCGTAGTAAGGTAAAGCATGTATTTTCCTGGTAGCCGGTCTTACTTTATGAAAAAACAGTCTGCCTAGGTCCCCCTCTCTTATGGCGGTCATTGCGGCTCAATGTATTGAATGGAACACAAAGATATTCAGGCATGTAGAGATATTCATTTTCAGGGCGGTTGCATGGCGGATAAGATGGTCCGTCGCGTGCGCAAAATAGTTAGGGAGATAGACAGTTCAGAAGCGCAATGAACACTCGCACGAGACGTAAAAATAAAATGGCTTAACAAAATTGCGAAAAAACAAAAAATGACAACTTTTCCATTTTGAGCGTGCGCAATAGGGCGGTGCGCATGCACAAAGTTTTCTCACAGGATGTCTTGGTTTTAACATAAATAATAAAAAGAAGTGTCCGTGGTCGGGTCTGAATAGTACTGTGGAAGTTGGGTTGGAAAATTTACAATTAAGATCTGTATTTTTGGACAATTATTACTCTTTGAAAAATAGTATCCTACTGATGTAAAATAACATCTAAAGGGTTTGGCAACAATGATGTCCAGAGAGAATGTTAGCCCTAAAGTTTATTTTTCATAAAATGATTTATCTTCGAAAATACTGAATTACAAGACAGTTTAAAAAAATTTCGAGTAAAAGTTTAATAATAATTGAATTGATAAGGCCATTTCCACTCACGAAAATTTGGGGCTAATATTAGGCTTAATGCATATGTCGTTCTTTGTCTTTCATTTAAAGGAAAAATACCAAACTCTCTTAACGTCTTTGTTGCCAGCAGTTGTGTAACTTTCATGAAAAAATCAAAGTCTTGAGGTTTTGTTTTACTTATATAACTAACATGTTTTTTGGTTTTCAACAAAGTAATAATGGTCTAGAAATACAGATTTATATTGCACATGTTAGCAAGTTTCTTCTGTAACTGCACAATTATTGCAAAATTGTGCGCTTATCACACTATTAAAATTAGTAAGGTCTGTGAACATTGTGGCACAACTGCTTGTTCCCATGCATAAATTTTGAACTAATGTTTTGGGATTGGATTTATTAAAATTTGAGATGATTTTGAACACATATTGGTACCAATGCTACTCATTCTATGAGTAAAATATTGTTCGTTTATACTTTGTTCTAGTTTTTATAGCTTTTATTGTTTTAACAGTAGAAATATATGTTGATTTTGTTGAATTATTTGTTAATTATTCGTTCATTTTATGCATGATGAAACCCGAAATTTATAGTTTGATGGTCACAACAAATTTGAGCATATAAAAATGTTAAAATTGAACACCAAACTAGCTGTAATATTTGAACTCGCTAGAACACAACTAGTTTTAAATACGTTTGAATTGAATTTATACATGCAGTATTTCAAATGTTGTGATTGATTATCTGTTTCAAAACTTTTGAAATCATGCATACAGCTATTTCAATATTAAGGTTGTCCAACAGCAAAGCGAAAAAGTCGAA